TGTAGGAAATTTTATCATAAATTAGGTAGTTAGGGAAATCTTCCTGACAATGCTCACAAAGCGCCTTGACAAGTTGCTGCTGGAAATGTGCCACAATGTTGGATTACACTAGAAAGGACAATTTTGATACGACCGGTTTTAACTAATGTATTTGATATGTTTTGAGGTTAGGGCTGGCATATGTGCTCTACTCAACTTGATTTGCTCTGACTCGCCCTATTCTTGACCCAATTTTGCATAAATTACATGTAATTTTACTCATATTATTTAGTATTTTATTTTTATTATCTCGTATTTTACATATAACAAAGTTGTAAATAGATGAGAACCTCAATTTCTCAAATACATTTGTTAGTTTTTTTATATTTTTTAATAGAGAAATGAATATTTTTAACGTTTTTCATTTAGATTACATACCCATACGAGTAGACCTATCCCTAACCCACGTTCCGTGATAAATTACCCGATTTGCCATTAGACGTTTTTGGGTATTGAGATATTCGCCTCCACCCGTCATATTGTTGTTCCTAGATTGCACGTTGGGTTCTCTACATTTATTGAATGGATGTTAGCATTTTATTTTTAAATTTCCCCTTTGTTCATCCAACAACTTCTTTGCACCCAACATGCGATCTAATGATCATGCACCTATGTGAGTACGATACATATCTAATATATGTGGCTATGAGCAACAAGGAAAAATCCACTTCTCACCAATAATTACTTCTCATTTACACTGACAATTTGGTCTGAGAGCACTTCTACTATGTTGTATAGCATTGGTGCTTTAATTTACAACTCTAAGTTGTACCATAACATTAAATGTATAAGTTTAGGTTGTACCATAAATGAATTTGTACCATTATGTTATGGTACAACTTTACAACTTGAAATTGTACCATCACATAAAGGTACAAGTTCAAGTTGTACCATAAAAGAATTTGTACAAAAAGTATAGGTACAATATGAAGTTGTACCATAATGTTAAATGTACAATTTCAAGTTATAACATAAAAGCAAAAACCTATAGCACCAATGTTATATAGCATTGTAAAATTCCTTTTGATTTGAATAAATTACTTGATTGATTGCTCCAAGAGGCATATGTATACTCTGTTTCTCATTTTTTAGGCATTTGTATGCTCTAAATCTTTTTTTATTGTTATTTCATATTCGTTCAAATGATGGATGTATCGTAAAACGAGGAAATGAGAGAATATAAAAAGTGGGTTAAATGAAAGAGCGGATCAAGATTTTAAAGACGCATTCTAAAAAGTAGAGAACATAAAAAGTGGGTTAAAAGTTAAAACTACGGATTAGATAAAATTTTGGCAAAATACATTTGTATAGCCAAAACTTTCACGTTTGTGCCACTTATAGCCACTTTTGGCGAAATACCACTAATAGCCACTTCCGTCCAATTCTTTAACAATGTTAATGTTAAGTCTGACTGGACACACGGAATGCTGACGTGGCGAGCTCTTATTTCCAATATCCTCTGCAATTATCCACGTGGATAATGGTTAATTAAAAAAACAATAATGGACCAAAAATTAAAAAGCCCTGACCCTTCCTTCCCTTATCTTCATCTTGTTCGAAATGTACAACAACGTTTATCCGATCTAGAAACTTCCCCTCTGCTTCTCATCCATTCGACTTTTGAACCGAATTCAGTCGAGAAACTCTCTAATATCGATGGCAGTTCTGGAAGAAGGGCTTCGAAAGTGAAGGAAGAAAAGGGGATTTATTCTTCAGAATTGGGCGCCTCTCCGCTAGCTTCTTTCTCAGTCGCCTTTTCTCATTCTCTTCTATCTCGACCAGGAGCGACCAAGACAACGACCTGTGGCAATGGTAGATGGCGAGGGCTTTGCTGGGAGTGGCGCTGCGGGAACAGGCTTGCAATGATGGTGGTGAAGTCGGGGGAGAACAACGAATCGATGTCCCCGAGGCTGCTGTTAACGACGATATTACCGACACGGACAATGGCAGGGAAAACTCGACAGCTAGAGGGCGATGGTAGCTGCGATAGGTGAATCCACCGTCGCTACTCTATTGCGAACCTGCAGCAGGAGCTCGAATTGACGATTGACGGCGCCTTCTTCTCTGGTTCTGGTGAAGCAGAGGTAGATGGGGGTGGCGACTGGGCGACTTGGAAGACTCGAAGGGGAACGAGATTGACGTCGCGGGGAATATGTAGCGAACTTGGTTGCTCAGCTTCTTCCCATCCTTTCTCTTGCGAGGCGTTGATAGCGTCGGGGAATGAGAACCAAAGGCGGAGCTGATGCTTGAATCGAGAGAGGAAGAAGCTCTCTCTAACACCAAATAGCTCCATATTCTGGGTGGTCGATTCAACCCTAGAGAAGATGTCGATTGAGAAGCTTCAAAATTGGCGAGAAATTTTGTGGGAAATTTGGGGAAAGCTTTAATCGCCGATTTTTTGTTATTTGCGCGAAGTTTGGGTAGGAATCGCCGATTCAATCGCCAACAGGCAGGGAGCAAACCCTAAAAACGAAATTGGGGAAAGAGGAGGAAATTTTTTATTTTTTTCTTGTTGATTTTGTGTAAATAATTTAAATATCTGAAGTGCCACTATTTGCTTAGTTGTCGCTGACGTGTCCGCTGAATTGGCGCCTCGTCAGCCGACCGTCAAATAAGTTGATGGTGTTATTAACACCATTATAGTTTCTAACTGAAATGACTATATATCTGGCACGCAACATGTTTCAAAAGTGGCTATTAGTGGTATTTCGCCAAAAGTTGCTATAAGTGGCACAAAGATGAAAGTTTTGACTATGCAAGTGTATTTTGCCTAAAATTTTCCGTAGGTGTATGTTGTTTGAAGGAGAAGATTTTGAGGACCTAGATGTAACTTTTGTAGTGTTTAAACTATACATCCCATTTGCTGTTCTTAAAATTTTCGTAAATTAGAGATAAAGAGTTAGGGCGCGCGCATGAAAGTTATTTATATAGGTCACCATGTGCATGAGCCAGAGCCTATGTACGTACAAGGTAGCTCTTGTTGCGGTTACTTAAACCGTATTAGTATTGGGCCTTGTTGGGCCTCGTCCGAGTTGTAGTAGGTATGAATATGCGACCGTACTCGACTCTTCTCATTAGGGTTTTAACCCTAGTCTATCTCTATTTAAGCTTAGCTACGAGGATGTCGTAAGCAAGCCGTCACAATGTAGTCGTTCAATAAAACGTCAGCTGTGAGCTCTTATGAGCTCACCGTGGATTAGTCTCGATCAATCGATTGAGGATACCACGTAAAATCCCTTGTGTTCGTGTGTTATTTCATCTTCCGCATCATCAAATTCTACATGGTATCAGAGCCTGGTTTGTCCTTGAGGTCACGTGTTCAAGTCCTCACGACCCCCAATATTAACCGTTGTCTTTCAAGCACATGGTAGGGCTGGGCCTGTGCAAACTTCAAGCCCATGAGTCGGCTTTCGTTTGAGGGGGCGTGTAAGGAAGTGGTTAAGCACCATACACGGGCCTGTATAAGATCCATCATAACTCTTCTCCCAACAACTCGAGTTATTGGGACCAACTGGTTCTTGACACAAAGGCCAAGCCCAAAAAGAGACTCCGATCCGGTGCCGAGGGTGTCTCCGTCAACGTCAATCAGTCCACATTAAGCATCTGATCGGAGCTTCTTCCCAAATCGCCTCGCAGCTGCGCGCAAGTCCGCCATCGTCCTGGCTCCATCTCCAACTCCAATATCAGGTCACTGTCATTGCCCAGTCACGAGCGTTCACGGTCTCACTCTCCATGTCGTCGTCGCCATCGTCTCCAGCTCCAGATCGCAACTTCGCCATCGTCGATCAGGTTCCTCGTCCATTGCGTCTCAAGTCCCGCGGTTCCACCATCTCCAGTAAAACCTCCGACGTTGGGGCCTCCTTCCTCCTCGGCAATTCCCAGCCTGTAGACAGAGTAATCCTTTGTGTTTCGTCTCCAGGTGGTTTCCTCAAGTTGGAGGAGGAAGAAAAAGGAACGTGAAATTGGAAAGGAGAAGTGGGAGATGAGATGGACAAAGGAGGGCGGCACTGGATTGCTAACCCATTTAAGGATTTCCCCAATATTGTATTGGGCAGTCAGAAACCATAGCTGAAATAGGCCCTTATGGGCTCCCACATCTAATTTGGTAAGGGTTTTTATGGGCTCTTCAATTAGATTTTGGGCAAGTTATTTGTTTGTAGATTTTTACAAGCAAATATTGTCAAGTATCGATTGAGGCATTCACGATCCATTAAATGATCGTCCCCTGGCGTTCAAAAGGTAGTACGATCAGAGAAGTCATCGTCCCTTCATCGTCTAGCCGGCATTCACGATCTAAGAAATGGTCGTCCCCTCTTCCGGTTCAGTATTGGGCACATATCAACCATTCAACGCTTTTCAAGCTGGGCATTCACGATGTTCATGCTCCAGCTTGAGGGGGAGAATAGGAGGTCAACATACGCCGGTCGACTAAGTCAGTCATCAGGTCAACCACGATTTACCAAGTGTGTTCAAGTTCAAGAGACGCAGTCAATCGTCTCCATCATTAGGTTGTTCAGAGAGAGTCAGTCGTCTCCAATCAACCTTGTGCGAGATGTTATTCATCTCGAGTTTTGTGGTTCAAGCTATCATGCTTGTTCTTCACATTTACTTCTTCAAGCTCGACATTCTTGTCGTTCATGTCTTTGCTTGAGGGGGAGTGTTGCGGTTACTTAAACCGTATTAGTATTGGGCCTTGTTGGGCCTCGTTCGAGTTGTAGTAGGTATGGATATGCGACCGTACTCGACTCTTCTCATTAGGGTTTTAACCCTAGTCTATCTCTATTTAAGCTTAGCTACGAGGATGTCGTAAGCAAGCCATCACAATGTAGTCGTTCAATAAAACGTCAGCTGTGAGCTCTTATGAGCTCACCGTGGATTAGTCTCGATCAATCGATTGAGGATACCACGTAAAATCCCTTGTGTTCGTGTGTTATTTCATCTTCCGCATCATCAAATTCTACAGCTCTCCCTTAATTAATTAATAAGTGTACATCTTATCATCAAGAGAACGTATATATAAAAGTACATGGTAGCTGCTAGGTAGTGCATGGTTTACAAACCAGAATCAAAGGGCACTCCGGTGCCGGGAATCCAGGCATCACCGTCGAAGAAGTCGCCGACGGTGAACTTGCGGGCCTCCCTAAAGCTCCTCATCACATGAAAACCGGGCCAGGTGACCCTCCCCTCCGTCTTCCCTCCTTTACCCTTGTTCATGAACTCCGCATAGTAAAGCGTCGACAACGCAAAGTCGCCGCTCCACGGCAGCCACCCCGCAGGATTCACGATTCCTCCGACGTCACTCTGCATCACCACCGTCCTCGAGAACCTCCTCCACGGCCGCCCGAGATACGCCTCCACGGAGCCCACCCTTGCTGCCAGCTCAGCAGAAGCCATCACCCTGGAGGCTTGGATGACGATGCCCGTGTTCTCGTTGGGATCCGAGCGGCCCTGTGCGGTGACGGTGGCCTTCTGTCTCGGCAGTGGCCTCCTGACGTATACGTTGCATCCCTGGAGGACGGCGGCGGCGTCCCCGAAGATGAAGTCGACGGTGCCGTAGATGTCGCAGTCGCGGTAGAACTGGCGCATGGAGTGGAGGTAGAGGGTGTCTTGGTAGCCCTTGAAGCTGCACCGATAGAACACGGAGAGGTCGGAGCTGGAGCGGAGCGCCACCGCCTGGTGCTTCGTTGGCCCCGCCGTGTTCTCGAACGTCATGTCCTTCGCTATGAACCCATGCCCCGACACAGCTGCACGCACGCACCATTACCAACCATTTCATATAATAAGTGCGGTCAAAATCACGCATTAAAACGTAAGAACTTACGTGTTTTTACGTATCTAGGCCACCAAAACGTTTCAGTTTCTACCTAAAGTCGCTTAGTCACAAAAACTGGTCAAAACATAGGTGAAATCGGTAAAATCGCTTAAATCGGTAAAATCGTGATTCTGAAGCGTTTTTATACGATTTTGATCATCTCATAAAAATGTGATAATTGGCCTAAAATGATGTAATTTTGGAGACATATCAGCAAAAAAATAAAAAAGAAAAACATGATTCATCACTCATTCTACAACTAGTGTCGAGATAGGGGCTTCACATTAGGTTGAAAAAAGACACATAATGGTATTCTCAACAGCAGCTGACCTTCTATCAGTCTTCTCACTTAATCTTCACATGTGACTCTTACTTGGGTTACGATAAAAGTTTATGGGTAGTTGATCATATGTAATTATGTAAACTCAAACCAGTTTATGAGAATTTGGATTCTCAAGCTTGTTTACGGGTTACTATCTACGTTTATGAGCTTATTATTAAGATGTTATGAGTTTTCTCTACTTTTGAGTCAACACAAATTAGTTTATGTGTTAGATATTACATTTTAATTATAAATTTCATGTAGTTATTCACTTATCTAAAATCTACACACTCATATTTTACATACTATATGTTGTACTCAACATATTTTAGTTATTTTAGATCGAGGTGCGTCAAAAACTTACGCTTTTACACTTTTATTCTAAGTTTTACGATTTTATTTATTTTCCGCTTCTAGGTAAAATCACGCTTTTAACGGCCTTTCATGCAAATTAGTAAATTAGTTTTTTTTTCAATTATTAGTAAATTAGTTGATGTAATAATATGGAAATTAAATAAACTCACCAAAAGTTGCAGAGCGGTAGGTGGTGAAGCCGTCGCGGACGTTCTTACAATTGGAGATGATGGTGGCGTCGATCCCATCTCCGACCACCATTATGTTGTTCATCGATTTCTTGATCTCCACGCTCTCCTTATAAATCCCCCTCTTCACGTAGATCACAAACCTTCTCCTCCCACGAGCCGCCCGGCCTCTCCTCATCTCCACCGACGCCGCCACCGCCTCGGAGATCGTGCTGTAGTCTCCGGACCCATCTTGGGCCACCACTAGATGGGCCTTAGGTCCAACATCAGCAGCACCACTAGGCCGGGCCTCGAGCAGCTGTCGATCGCTTTTCGCCACCCACCAAGGGAAAACAGGAGGAGGAGTACTACTACTCCTTGCTCCTCCTCCTGCTGCTGCAGCCGCCGAAAGCAACTTCCGCCCGCCGCCGCCACCTCCTGCAGCCGCATTGATGGCGAGTGCGTTTCGGAGCGACCGGGAGAAGTCATCCATGACACGTGGCAACGACGTGGTGGTGGTGGTGAGGTTGAGGTCGAGGAAGCCGTCCCGGCAGGTTTGGCGGTTGGCGAGGGCCGCGCTGAGCCACGTCAGGGTGTCGGAGGAGGACGGGTTTGTTGTTGTTGTTGTGGTAGTAGAACCCAAGGAGCGGTTGAGGTGTCCCAGCGCCTCCTCGTACAGCTCAGCACAATCGTACCACGCTGACGTGGCTTCAGCTCGTAGGTCGTGTTGACGGTCGTCCAGCGAGTTATGGACGAAGTTGGAGGAGGAGGAGGAGGAGATGGTGAGGAGCTGGCGATGAGCCTCCGTGGCATGGTTCATGGCGTCCATGATAGACAGGCGGCGGAGGTCGGGAGATTCCGTTACGGTCGGGGCGCCGCCATGCATAAATGAGACGTTGACGATGATAAGGGTAATAAGTAGAAGGAACTTGGTCGTAGTAATGGTATCCATAATAGTTTGTTATTATGATTATTATTATTATTATAGTAAGCTTCGGGTTGGAGTGGGAGAAGATGGATTTGGAGGGGAATAATGGGGATGATCAGCAGCAAGCAAAAGCATGCATGATTTTATACACGTACAGGCGAGGCTGGACGTTAGGTGGGGTTTGCCAGATTTTTGGATAAGTGTGAGTCTGATCACCAGCAGAAGCAAAAAAAAAAAAAAAAAAATGAAACAAGAAAAAGGGATGTGGCTAGGGGAAGTGTAACGTGGTTAGGGTTTCTAAGCATGAATGGGGTTTGGCCCTTGACTGCAAGCATATATCATGGATCTTTATTTATTGGGCTTGCTTTGCTTTGCTTTTGTTTCTAAAATCTGCATGCATGACATGATGGTGATTGTTACCTAATTAACCAATTCCACAAAACAATAGGCAAATGGGATTCGTTCACTGTTGGGGTGTTAATATGTAAAAATGACTGGTTATCTAACTTACACGTATCGTATGAAATATGATGTTTGGTTTAATTTCTTCATATTATGAATAGTGCGTGGGATTGCGAGATCGTGAAATGAAATGGCCCGTGATTACTGTGCCAATATGATGGTGATGTGATTTTATTAGTTTCCCATAAATCGGGTGGCTTCAATATAATTAGGTGGAACCAAAAAAAAAAGTAAAGCTAGTGGGGTACGCAATAGCCACGCACGCTAGCTACCTGGCTGGCCGCGCGGTGGCTTCGAGTCGATTATCATTTCGTGATTGGTTTTGGTTTTGGTTTTGGTTTTGGTTGGCTGGAGTACTCTGAGTTGTCAATTGTTGTTCTCTGAGCGCGCCCACATGTTTTGATACGTTACTTCTTCTCTGTGTTCATAGATGATTTGGTACGTACCATCATACATTTGGAGTGGGAGAACAATGAATTTGAGCAGAAGTTGGGGCCTGCCGCAAGAAGTTTTTTTTTTTTTTTGGTAGAAACTAGAAAGCAACAAAGTGTTAGTTAATTGTTCCTCTTTTTTACCTTAGCATGTGTGGAGTCACTCTACGTTCTGCCGAATTTGATTGGACAATCAAAAACTTACCTTAATTAGCGTATGTATATGTATATGCATTGTTGAATTCTTTCGATGCAATGGAAGTGTCTGTTTTATGTCAAGGGTTCCACGAATCAAGTGGCTCTCATCTTCAGGCTACAATTCGATTGTCTATCTTCCCTTTCTTAGTTTTCGTTATCAATTTCTAACCAAGCAGTGGATTGTGTGTCTATGGTAGGTTGAATTTATATTAGGGATTTTACTGGCATATTATGACCACACTACAAAATAAACCACCTGTAACCGGGGGTTTTTTTTTTTAATTTAGCGACCATATAACCATCGTTAACAAACCCGCCAACGTCTTCTGTGTCGCTGCATAACTGATGTGAGGAAAACCGTCTCAAAGTTGTGTCAGCAGTTGTCTCAACCGCAGGGGGATGTTTTAACACGGGATTTTGTAGCGGTTAAATTGTCTTGATTGCCCTTTTTTATACGGTTTGATAGTGAACATATTTAGCAGTAAGGGGGTGTTATGCGGAAGAATTCCCAGAATACAGCCAAAATTAAGCATTATTCCCATAATACATAACTTTTATAAAATTTTCCCAAAATACCCAAGTTTCAAGGGGTTCGAGTTCCATAAACTCGAACAACTACACGGTTCAATGATTAAAAACTCGAACTACAACCACATCGCGTTCATAAACCTCGATCAAGTGTAGATCGAGTTTGGACAACTCGATCAGAGTAGATCGATTCTGGTAAACTCGATCAAACTAGTTCGAGTCCGGTAACCTCGATCAATAAAGTTCGAGTTTGCAAAACTCGATTTCACTTGATCGATGCTAATAAACTCGATCCGGTGAATCGATTTTAAAATCCTCGATCAAAATCTGCATAAGAACGACGACCTTAAACTCGAACCCTTTAGATCGGTCCATATGTCCTCGAACCACTAGTCAACCGAAGTGTCAGGATAGGGTTGCAGGGATAAGATTCTTTGTTGGGGTAGATCGATTTTTAGAGACTCGAACTAGTGTGGTTCGATTGTACTAAACTCGAACCACTGCTCAATCATTCTGTCCCGTCGCTTTCGGTCCGACATGCTCCAGAATAGGGTGCAGGGGGGTAAAATTATTGGTTGCGGTAGATCGAGTTTGTTGGACTCGAACTAGGGTAGAACAAATTAACAATGCATGAGAAATAGAACAAATTAACAACCTCATTAGAAATAGAACAACGGAACAACGTCATTAGAAATAGAACAACTTAACATCTCTAAAAAAATAGAACTACTAAACAACTCTAAGGAAATAGAACAACGGAACAACGTCATTAGAAATAGAACAACTTAACAACTCTAAAGAAATAGAACTACTAAACAACTCTAAAGAACACCTCACTCTTGTTCACCACGTCCGCGTCCCTCCCTTCGACGTCTATTCCTTGAACGAACTCCATATCCAATTCCAGTATTTCGTGGCAATGGAGGTGGGGTTGCAGTGGCTGGAGGAATGGGAGTCTGGAAGCTTTGATGCGGGGTTTGAAATTGATGACCATACGATGAATAGTAGGCTCCTCCTCCCCCTCCTTGAGCAGAACCTGATGATCCCTCTCCGAATTCCCTTCTGGCGGGAGGGAATCCATACTCGTATGGGTGGGGAAGTGCCACATCTTCTCGTACATGCACAGGGACGTTAACTGGCTCTTGCCGACGTTTATTCCTCCTTGGTGGTGATGGCGGGAGAGATTCAACTTCAATGGCGTGGGAGGAAGGACGTGGCGGTGAAGGAGCAGGAGGATATGCAATGACATCCCTTCGGATTTCCCGCGAACATGACAAGAGATTCTTGAATAGCTTCTTCAAGAATGAAAATTTCTCCCCTGGCACATCATCTTCTGGTTCATTCTCCAACATCATTGATGCAAGTTCCAACCCATCAACCTAAATAATAAACATGTTAGTAAACACTATTTGTGTAGCTAAAGTGATTATAGTAAATAGATATTGTGCTTACCAATGAACCGATCACGGCGCCACGTTTGGTTACCCATCTTTTTGTGAACTTGCGGTACCAAACCATGTATTCATCTTGGTACCCCATTGGCCTCGTCATTGGGATCCCATCAATTGCATACGTCTGACGAGACTCCCACATTTCGATCCATCTATGGTGCTTGGTTGGCCAATCACTTATTGCACCCCGCAGATCCTTGCTGTACTTGTGGAGTGACTTATGTACGTCCGGAAGTGGGAGAGGAATCGGTTGCGCCCAATTATATTGTCGGACACATCTATCCGGGAGGTGCCACTCGACAATGTTGTGGCAAATCACAGGCAACTTGCACGACCAGAGTCGGCGATCCTCAGGGTATCGCAACTCGTACAAATCCTTTGCTCCGTTCGGATACGGATCCCACTCCACCTAAGTTTCAACACAACAAATAAATTAAAATCGAAGCAAATAATTTCAACAAATAAACTCTGGATTCATAATCATAAAAATAAATAATGGGCTAAGACAAATAATTCAACAAATAAAATAGGATTCATAATCATAAAAATAAATAATGGGCTAAGACAAATAATTTCAACAAATAAAATAGGATTCATAATCATAAAAATAAATAATGGGCTAAGACAAATAATTTCAACAAATAAAATAGAATTTGTAATCATAAAAATAAATCATAGGCTAAGACTAAGACAAATAACTTCAACAAATAAATTAGAAATAAATAATCATAAGCTAGAATGTTACCTCGTTGAATTCTAGACGGTCAAGATGTTGGCGGTACCCGTCTAGAGAGGTGCCACTCGTGATAGCTCCAATCCATCTAGCACCATAAGCCCATTGTCGTAGTGGCTCATCGGGACCCCAACTGTTGGCAGGGCAGATCGGAGCGAAAGTAGGAAGGTGCTCCCAAACCCATAGTTGGAGGATGAACATGGGACCACCCGCTTGCTTTGTTTTCGGATCCGTACACTTGCACAACTCCGAATATATCATGGCCAAACAAGCAGATCCCCAACTTTTTCTCCCAATCTCGTCTCAATCTCCCAAAAGAACTCGAAGCCACATACAATGCATATTTCCACCAGACTTGTTCGGAAACAAAAATCCTCCAACCAAACAAATAAGGTAGATGCGAGCATACCTCTCTATCTGAGCATCTGTGGCATCCTCCGGTAATTCCCCAACGGTCCTCACTAGCCAAGGTATCAATAACATAGACTTGTGTAGAGGTGGTACACGACGACCTTCTTCTGCTTCCTCGGGGATGTTGATACCTAAACGCTCGCTTATAAATTGGCCCCAACCATTCAATGGTTTCTGTGAACTTTCAATTATTGCATCACCATCGATTGGAAGCTCTGTCAGCATGGCTACGTCCTTCAACGTAATCGTCATCTCTCCCTCTAGAAGGTGGAATGTGTGCGTTTCTTTTCTCCATCTTTCCACCATTGCCGTAAGAAGGTTGTTGTCCATCTCCATCCCCACAAACTTTCGCACCCTCAGCAATCGCGCTCTTTCAATGAAGGGTTCGATACGATCATCCCATTTAGGTAAGCGAGATAGCGACCGATGGGTGATTACGTCAAGTTGTTCCTGTAGAAAAAAAAAATATTAATTATTATACAAAAAAAATTAGAAGAATACTATCACATTTAAAAAAAGAAAAGTAAATGAGGAAGTGCTTACCGGATCTGCCGCCCAAACACTTTCAGACCGATGGTAAGGTTGCTCATCCAACAAATCGGTTTCTCGAGGTCCGCCTTGAATGTATAATCTAGGATCGTAAATACTCGGATCCATCTCGACAATTTTGAGTGATAGAAGTACCAAACTAAAGAAAAAAAATCTGATGCGGAAGATCGGGCTTAGCCACAACCACAGAGCATATTTGTTTCTTCAAGAGTGGTGGGAGGAATTGAGGAAGAAGAATGGAGTGGTGTGGGATTTGGTGGAATGGAAGGGGGTATTTATAGCTGCAGTGGGAGAGTGGATCGAGTTTACAAAACTCGAACTAGGGCATCGATTAACAGGTACTCGATCCGCGTCAAAAGAAGATCGCGGATGTCTCCATCGAACGAACCAGATCGAGTTTGGGGACCTCGATCAACGGTTGTTCGCCATTGACGTCATCGATCCGCGTCAAATAAATCGACCATAAGAGATTTGATCGACTGCATCGAGTTTACCGCACTCGATCCGCGTCAACCCTGCTTCGCGTGCTTTGGAATCAAACGGCGTGGATCGAGTTTACTGTCCTCGATCAATGGTAGTGCGCGCCTTACGTCATCGATCCGCGTCAAGTGGATCGATTGTCACTAACTCGATCTACCTGCATCGATTTTATTCCGCTCGATCCGCGTCTTCACCACTTCGATTGTTGAGCAATCGAACGGCCTAGATCGCTTCTTTGGGCATCGATCTATGGTAGAGCGCTGGCCATCTCATCGATCCAGTTCGTGTAGATCGAGTGTTATATCCTCGATGCACGTGGATCGATTTGCTTTCAATCGAACCCCTCCTAGTTCGAGTTTTTTAAACTCGATCCATGTCAAACTTTGGTAGTTTGGGAATTTTTTATAAAAGTTATGTATTGTGGGTATTAGTTTTAATTTTTACTGTATTTAGGGAATTAATCCGTGTTATGCCAACGGTTTTTGAGAACCCCTCCTTCAATTTCTATCTGGCTCGCGTGCTACTAACTACTACAATTCCAACTGTAGGTCAAATGCAACCAACGATTAGGTGTAGTCCGATTTCACGTTCGATCCATCGACCCACAATGAAGAATTGGGTAATTGTTATAATCACCCTAATTGATATTTCTATCTTAGGTTCATAGCAATAATTGGTAGGCCTCTGTGGTTTGACAAAGCTTCCAGAACAGGGCAGTGGTTAGGATACCCCAAAGTGTGTGTGAAAATGCGGCTTGATGGTGCCAAATCGAAGACCTGCCTTCACAGTACAGCTGGAATACTGCTACCGACCTGATATATGTGAGAAATGCAAGCAGTTTGGATATAATTGTGCTAAGGAAGTGGAAGTAAAGGGAGTGGAGGTGGAGAGTCAGGAAGATCAAACAAAAGATGTGAATGTACAAGAGGGGGAAAGTAGTGAGGCTGGGAAGGAGGATGTTGTGGCTTGCCAAGCTGAAGAAGCTCCAATGTTAAAGACTGAAGTGGTGCTGAAGTAGGGTTGCAACATGCAGTGAATAACTTGGTCAACTCATTAAGTATTGATAAGCAAGTCTGGGTCAGTGCTAGTCCTGACTCGTTGCCATTAGATAAGGAGTTTCAGACTGCAGTAGGTAATCTTCAGCAATCTAATTCCTTCAATGTGCTTGCTAATTTGGACCAATTTGAGGTAAGAGCATTGATGGTGTCCCCACTGAAGAATCCTAAGGACTTCCTTGATCTTGCAAGTAGTCTGGTGAAACAAAATGGTAAGAAGAGGCCAGGCAGGCCTCCAAAAAATAAATCAGTAACTAAATGATTGTTCTTTCTTGGAATATGAGGGGCTTTAATAGCCCTGAGAAGCAGGAAATGATAGTTGAAATAACTAGTAGGCTCAAAGTAGATGTGTTGGCTATTCTAGAAACAAGGGTAAAAAAAGAAAATGTGAAAGGTATTCAAGACAATTACTTTCTGGATTGGAACAAGAAAGAAGTTTATTCAACAGCAGGGGTTAGAAGAATGTGCGTGCTTTGGAAAAAAGATGTTGATTTTACTATCTCAGATATTACTTCCTAGCATGTGCATGGGCTAGTAAGAGGGGCTGAAGAGATGCATATAACATTTGTTTACGCTTCTAATGAAGTGTCACATAGGCATCGTATGTTTGAAAGATTGAGAAGAATAGTGAGTAAGGGTAGGTCTTGGTTAGTAGTAGGCGATTTCAATACCATTATTGATGAGAGGGAGGCCTCTAATAGTGTTGAGCTAGGAGAGAGTGCTGTCCAATTTCGTAGTTGGATAAAAGATACGCAATTGGAAGATCATAGAGTTGATGGATCATGGTTTACCTAGACTAATAAGCAAGTTGGGAATCCCATTGCTAAGAGCTTAGATAGGGCTTTGGTTAATACAGATTGGCTTACAGCCCATCCAAGAGGGGCGGTCAAGATACCACCCCCAGGGTTGTCTGATCATTGTGGAGTTATTGTGCACTCTAATATTAATGTCAAAACATTTCCAAAACCGTTTAAATACTTTAGCTATTGGAGAGAGCATCCAGAGTATGACGGTATGGTAAAAGAAGGATGGAATCATCAAGTTAGTGGGTGTACAATGTATTGCTAATACCAGAAGTTACAGAAGGTTAAGGAAAAACTGAAGAAGCTTAATAAAGTTCACTATTCAGATATACATGAGCGAGTAAAGATTGCAAAGGCACAACTAGTTGTAGCCCAATTAGAGGCTTTGGAGCGCCCTGCCCCAGATTCATTTGAAAATGAGAAGGGGTGTGTGGTCCACCTCATTGAGTTGCAGAAAGCTGAGGAACAATTCTTAAGGCAAAAATCTAGAAGATTGTGGATATCAAGTGGAGATTCAAATTCTAGATTCTTTCACAGTGTTGTTAAATCAAGGACTCAAAGAAATGCTATTCGACAGTTAATTACAGATGAAGGAGAAAGAATAGCATATGTGGAAGAGATTGGGAAAGAAGCAGTGGGATTCTATGAGAAGTTGTTAGGGGTTGAGAATGGAGAAGTTGAGAGAGTTACAGTGAGTATGTTGAGGAAATTGTTAGTGCACCACTTGCCTGAGGATGTTGATTGGTTATGTGCTCCAGTTACTAAAGAGAAAGTGAGAGCAGTGATATTTGGCATCCCTAGGGAAAAAGCTCCAGGGCCTGATGGATTCTCAGCAGAGTTCTTCCAAGATAATTGGAGACTGGTTGGACAGGAAGTTACAAATGCAGTTCTAGATTTTTAAGCACAGGTAAACTACTCAAAGAGGTAAACAATACGATTCTGACCCTCATCCCAAAAGTGCCAAATGCAGAGAATATGAAACAATGTCGACCGATTTCTTGTTGCAATTTTGTGTATAAATGTATCTCCAAGGTGTTTGTTGGTAGACTTGGAGTGGTGCTGCCTGGGTTGATTAGCAAGAATCAGTCAGTCTTTGTAAAGGGGGGAATGATAAGTGATAACATAGTTCTGGCTCATGAGATGGTGAAGTGGTATCGAAGAAAGGATGTATCTCCTAGGTGTGCTATTAAGGTGGATGTTATGAAGGCATTTTGAGTAAGTGAGGAAACGAAGAAGGTTTTGATTGGAAGTGTCAGGTTTTCAAGAAGGAAAAATGCTAGTGAGATGCTTAGGAATCCTTCTAGTGGCTTGGAAACTGAAGTCAGCAGACTGTCAAGTATTAATAGATAAAATTCTGAGTAGGATCCAGGGGTGGCAACCAGTAGAAAGCAACTCACATTTTTTATGGACTGTTTATACATGCAACACTTTGTTTGTAAACATACATGTTACTATTATATGCATTCATTGCTTAGTCATTTTGACTTTCTACTGTTTTCAATACATTCTAAATATACTCAAAGTAATTTGAGTATTTGACTAGAAAGTTCATGGCCAAATACCAAACAAACCACATATCGTTAGTGTAAATGACACATACAAATCATATAACCAACATACAGAGCCTTTTGCTGGTATTTTTTAAGAGAGTTTTAAATGCGTCTGTTTTTACTTTTTAGGTTTTATGGGTTTCGAAAAATAAAGGGTTTTATGCATATTTTGCCTCTCTACTTTGCGAAGTTCTCAAACATGTCCCTCTACAATGTTTCACATCAATTTTGCCCTTCTATTATGACAAGATTATCAAATCCACCATTCCATCCATGTTTCTATTAGTAGACCGTTATTTTTGGTCAAATATTGCTGAATTAATTTAATATATCACTTAAAAACCATTCTTACTCGTTTCCTTCTTCAATTAAATATTTTAATTATTTTTCTAGTCTTCTGTTAGACTTAAAGTCCCCCACGCCTCCACTTTCCCTAATTCTAAAGATACGGTAATCCACCCCTTTGTTTCCAAACCAGTTCCGGCTAGTTCAAACGCAAGCTCCAAACTAGGCGATTGAACTTCAGCCGACGAAGGCAGTTTAGCCCAATATATGACCATCTAAGTGGCCAACGAGAGTTGATTGAGAATACTTTACTCTGGAGATTGATTGAGAATCCAGAGAGGATTTCTTCGATTGGAATGGAATGAAGAAATCAAGCGGCAAAACGACGAGAACAAGAGATGAATGGTTGAAAAAATGGCAAGGACATCTCCGTCGCGCCTCTTCGACGGCACTAGCCTACGGGTTCTTCCCACCAGCCATGGCTTGGCCTAACCTTTAGTTCTGATATCACTTGTCACGATTAAAATGAGGTTCTCAATGAGTTGGAGATGGTCTCCTAGGACCTAACACATTAACATTTAAAAAGAAAAGTGAAAGAAGGACATTTAAGTAATTAAACACTCACATTAAATTTATTCAACCATATCATATTTAATCCAAGACAACGGTGAATGGATAAAAAAAAAATTAATGAAATGGTAAATTTGTTAACCTTGTTATCGTAGAAAGCATAACTGATGTAAAACTTTGTAAAGGGACATGTTTGAAAATTTGACAAAATAGAGGGAAAAATATACCTACAATCCAAATATAAAAAATAATCAATGAGTAGTTAATTAATTTCGATAGGATTTAGAGCGAAAGCAAATTAATTTCCTCATCGAACATCCAAACATCACATTCAATTCGAATCAGAAGCAGGCTGGGGTTTGGAGAGAGCTGAAATGGAGAGTGGCTTGCCATTCGCAGCGGCAGCATCCTCGCAATCGGCAACTCCTCTCTTCTTCTCGAATCATGCGTTCATCCACCAGCAGTTTCCTTCCCCGTTAATCACTAGAAATGGCAAGAGCTCGAAGAAGCTCAACAATGGCGGCAGAAGAAACCTCGTATCAGTTAAGGCCCTGAACAGCTCATCCAGGTCAGGTATTACTAGTAGACGGACTCTTAGCAGCAACTGGGATACTGTGGATTTCTCCTCTTTCGCCGCTTCGGCTCCGCGGCTGCCGAGATTCGAGGAGCTTGATACTACCAATATGCTCCTCCGTCAGAGAATCGTTTTTCTGGGTTCTGAGGTCTTTGCTCCTACCCTCCTTCTATCTCATAAGAGCGGGGTTGACAAATCTTCTTTTATTTCTAGGAATTGAATGGAGGTTTAATTGCGTGTTGTAGGATTTCAATCATTGTGAATGATATGGTTTTTCCTCCAGCACCAATGAGTTTAATCAGAGGAACGGCCATGGTTTTATCACTACCATTCTTCGCCTTGATGTCATCTCTTCATGGGATGTCTATGATTCTGTCCATGTAAAATACAATTGTTGATTGGTATCGCTATGTGAGCTGAATGCAATTTCTTCTTTGTTCTGGAAGGGTACGTCACATGTAGCTTTTCACATCTAGGTTGCAGCTGTTGGTTCGAATCTGAGTTCCCCTTTCAAAAGGCTGATTGCTTGTGGTGTGAATTGTGATAGCATCTTATTTATGGAAGGGGCTGACTCTGAATTTAATCACTCAAACTTAATCTATGTAGGAACGCTTGTAAACTTATCCTTCTTAATAACATTTCTTAAGAATTCAGGGGATATTATTTAACCTGGTGGTAACATTTCTTAATAACCGGAGAAGAACACTAATTCTCGTTGCTGTCAGACAGGTTGATGACATGTCAGCTGATTTTATTATAAGCCAGCTCTTATTCCTTGATGCCGAAGACCCAACAAAAGACATCAGGATGTTTATCAACTCACCTGGTGGTTCTGTCACTGCTGGTATGTCCTTTAATTCTTGTATGCCAAGGGCGAAGTGTTTGTTGAATCTCTGCAGGCTTGAATAGAGATAGGAGTTTCAGAGAATTCGAACCAGTGGATAAGAAATGCGTTGTTCTCTTTCTAATGACTATGCATATATTTAAAAGTTTGTTCTGTGTTGGGTACTGAAAAGGAAAATAAGTTTGTCCAGTGGTAAAGGCACGTCCAATGTCATCATTTTGCCATTCACAAAGACTGGAATATCTAGAGATGCTGAGCGGTCGACAAGTTGGTGCAGAACTAATCTGTGCATGAATAGTTTGGGAACTCATAGGATTTCGTTTGAACTATACTTCACATTATCTCCAAAACTCATGGCCCTCTAACTAAATGGTGCTTGTTTTTACTTGCTGATGAAGGAATGGGAATTTATGATGCAATGAAAGTTTGCAAGGCTGATGTTTCAACCATATGTATTGGTCTGGCTGCATCTATGGGAGCATTAGTTCTAGCTGGTGGCACCCAAGGCAAGAGGTTTTGTATGCCGAACGGTAGAGTCATGATACATCAACCACATGGAACTGCTGGAGGCAAAGTAAGTGCTTACTTTAGACCAAGGTCTTGATTGATGACCCTGAATTAGCAATGTGCAAATTGAAGCTCCAAAACTTTGGTCAGTTTTTAAAATATCGACCTCATGTACAGAGGTATATTCCTAGCTTGATGTTGGTAATCTCATTGGAGCTGGAAATTAAGTCCAGAATTTTGTACAAAAGGATGATAATCCCACATATTTTTAGACCAGCAACTCTTAAAGCTATTACCAATGTTCCACATTTTACTGTGTTTGTGTGTGAGAGAGAGGGAGGGGGTAATGGCAACATGGTTTGGCACACTGACTAATCAACAACTTATTTGTTATTATGCACTACCAGTTTGTACTATACACTGTCAATATTTACGTTACATGATCACAAGTTACTGTATAACCCTTCTCATTGCTGACAAATGCTGTGTTTTCTCTGATTCCAGGCATCTGAGATGAGCATAAGGATTAGGGAAATGAACTATCATAGGATTAAAATCAACAAGATATTGTCCAGAGCCACAGGGAAGCCAGTGGAGCAGGTGTGCACAATATACTTGATTCAAAGAGCTCCCAGTTTACAAATTGATCCAGCAACTTGTTTGCACGTTTCTCTGACCTCCTTTTAACGGTGCAGATTGAAGTGGACACTGATCGTGATAACTACATGGACGCTTGGGAAGCTAAAAGTTATGGGTTAGTAGACGGCGTAATTGATGATGGCAAGCCAGGGCTGGTGGCACCTATTGCAGATGCTTCTCCTCCGCCAAAGACCCGAATTTGGGAATATTGGAAAGTTGAAGGGACTAAGCAGGCCAAGAAGAGTTTGCCATCAGAACATAGAATTTTGCAGAAGGCATATAGTAACGGGGTTCTGGGGGCCGATGAAAACGAGGGAAATGAGAAGGATGAGCCTGCTCCTTCAGAGTGAGGACTATCTGAATTGGGTGCCTAGGAATTGATACCCTTGTAATGTTGATGCCCCTAAGGACGAAGGCCTTTGTGGAAGGCCGCAGATTTATAGAAGGTGAACATGATTATCTTCCTTGCCCTAGAGGAAGCTCTGTTCATTTAAGGATCTGGGAGAATGGCAGTGCCGCTAGATGGGCTTGGCTGGGAGTTACCATCTACGGTGATCCCGAACTTTACAAAAGACATTGATCATGATCATGAAGTCAGATGGTTGACTTCAATATAAAAATATAACAACTGTTGAACTGCCAGTTTATAATAACGTTGCTAAGGGTTTGTGAAATAAATCACCAGAAGACCAGTTTGCTTATTCGATTTGTATCAAGGATTTGTGTCCAAAAATCTAACTAATAAGGATTTGGATAACAATTCTTTGTTTTGTTTGGCCAAATTTAGAGACAAATACAAGTGGCTCATAGATTTTGTTTTACTTTTTTCCTCCAAATTTGTGGTCTTTACGGATTTACAAATCTCACATGATAACTTGAAATTTAGTAGCTAGAAAACAAATTACACAACTTGTTTTGGAGTCAGGTAGGTAATCGAACCGGAACCGATGCTTAACGGTCTCACTATTAATCGATTAAATATTAAACGGTTGGTTCTCGATAGCCAAATTTAGCCAATAACTAATCCATGATTAAACAGTTAATAATCGACAGTTAAACGGTTAACCGACTAACCGATTACAACCATTCTTAGAGCAAAAAATAATAGACCTCCATGAGCTGCAAACATAGGCAAAAAATAATAGGGTGTTTGAAGGCTTACAATACCTCTTGCCTATCCTAGTTGTAATAGTGACTTAGACTAAAGTGAAAATAATTTAAAGGAAAAGTTTTAGAAGGAGCACAGCAGAAAGTCAGACTTGCACACAGTTGCTCGACAACAATCAGTAACATTAAACTTCCATGTAATTTGGTGGGGTTAACGAGTTGAGTAATTGTTATTCGGACTCTTATCGTTGCATGCTTCTTTAATAAAGTTTGACGGTATAATGGGGTTATAGTATTGTGTACTTGTGTTGGATTGAGTTGTTTATGTATTGGTATATATCTATGGTAAATTATTTTTTATTCAATGATAACAACTTAAGAAAATAACACATGCTTATGTATGGAAAATTATAGACAATTTCACAATTGAAAAAGGAGGTGTTATGTTTGTTAAGTTATCAATCAGTTATTTTGGTTTAACATTGCCGAATCACTTGGTTAACGGTTATCCAGTTAACCTACAAAATAACCGAGAACCGACTATATTGTTACGATTAACCGACCAATTTAAACGGTGCGATTAACTATAAACACAAAATATTTAACAATGATTTGAGAACCGACTAAACTGTTCCAATTATAACCGAACCGATTATCAGCCCTAAAGTCAGGCCAGGTAATAACTTAGCCAGAAGAGATAGCTGAGGAGGCAGTAGGTTTCTATAAACTGCTGTATGGTGTAGCTAATAAAGACATTGCTCCCCAGTTCATTGACATTGCAGCTTGTGTGACAAAACAATTGAATGAAACAGAGATTAGTAATGCTATGTGAGTCGGTTACTGATGCTGAAATTAGAACTGCCCTCTTCTCAATGGACCCCTCAAAGGCTCCTGGCCCTGATCTTCTACCTACAACAGTCAACAGCATTACTTCAACAACTAAACTGATCTTCTGAACTCCTGACTAATCTTGCACAACAGAGAATAAATTCTAATGGTTCTCATTTCTGCACCTATTTTACATTCTTAATTTACACAAAAGTCCTAATCTAACAACTACAAAGTACCATCACTTCTTCACTCTGATGGGGAGTTTTTGCCTTCACTGGTGGTCTCCGTGTGACTGCTACTACTGCTTCCTCGTTCACTTCCGCTACTGTCACTATCACTGCTAGTGCCGGAGCTAGAAGATTGACAATCATCATCAACATCGTCCTTCCTGTCTTGTGCACCCACCTGAGCCTTGAGGGCTTCTGCTGCATTAGGGCCCTTTCCCTCATCATCGTCATCATCGCTTATATCGACTTCAGCAATCTCATCGTCCGTTTCAGCTTGTTGTGGCAAGTTTATATCAATGTCCAGAAGCGCATGTGCCCTCATTCCACTTGCATTGTTTTTGTTGGATGTCTCAGAATCATTGTTGTTATCATCATCACCATTGACTATGTCTATGTCTTCTTCAGATCCGCAGTCAAGCATTGTATCCATGATCTCTCCACCTCTGTTCTTTTTCCGATGTGGTGGCGATGAGGCTGATGAATTTGGAGGAAGAAGACAAAAGTCATTCCCACTACTTTCTTCTTCTTGTTCAGAAGCTGTGCAGGGAGAACACTATATTATGGTCAGTGACTTCTTGGCTACCCATTTCAGAGGGAAAGGGGAAGAGTTCATATTATCAGTTATTCATACCTAGCGTCTGCCAACTAGTAATCATATGTTCCATCATCTGAACCTGCAAAAATCACAGAGAAAACAAGACAAAAGTATGAATCTTCACAGCTGATCTCCTGGATAGGTAGAGACTACACTTCGGAAGCACACACAATAAATTGGGCAGAGATGACCTCTGTTTGGCCATCATAGAATTAAAGTGGTCGAGAGACAAATAGATCAAAGCCCGAAATTTCAGAACATTGTTTTAACGAACTGGAATCGATCTACATTGGGACAATTGGCTGCAACTATTAAGAGTGTTGCAGGAACAAAGCATGTTTACATGATTCGAGGAGAACATCTTATTCAGAAGAGTCTAGGAGGCATAGCAATGGGAAGGCAGATGAAGTGAAACAACAGAGAAGATAATTCATTTCTTCCATCACATAGTTAAGACAATCAAGAACGGAGCAGATTCTCATTGTAAGGAAAACAAAACAAGAAAACGAAGGGAAATCTTGGGAAGATTCACTCTACTCTTCGGCAGCCTAGTTGATAGCGGTACCAAACATATAAATTATCATCTCATGAAGTGTTCTGTTCAGGTTCCTTCATTTGCTATCAACATAGCAAAGCAACAAAACAGTAATACCATCTTCTCTATCCTTGCAATACAATTCACTGCCGTCCTCTTCCATCGATCTAATCTAAAGGGTAGAGAAAGAAGTATCATAATCACACACACTAACCGGCATTTGTTGAGAAACCCCTTTGAAGTTGGCTCCTTTATGATCTGCAGACGGAGGAGTAGCCGCCAACGCCTCGCCGCCGGGAAGCCGGACATGTTTCAAGCGCTTGACGGCGCGATGGAGGCGTTCGAGGCGGAAGGAATGGCCATCGAAGAAGAGCACGGCGTCGTTCTCTTTGTAATCCTCGTCGCTCACACCCTGGAAGATGAGCTTGGGTTTCCCAGGTTGGTTGTTGTTGTACTCCACTGTCACCCCTTTGTTGCCATCCTTGTGGAGCACTCCTGGCTGGCTCTTATCAATGGAAGCCGGCTTGAATTCATCTACGGATTCGAGCAACCAAAAAGGGGAAATGAAACGTTAACACGGGTTCCAGAATTCGCCGTGCCGATTTCCGCAGAAATAAGGAAAGGAGAGGAAACTTACAGCGGAGGGTACAGAACTTGGACTGATCTTTGAAGGAGGGGCCTAGGGTTAGGTCATACCAGCGATCAGGCTCCGGTGCAGTGCTGGGTTCGTCATTCGCCATTATTCTTGTCCTCGGGACGGGATTCGATTCCAAATTCTTTCCGGATCTTGGTGGATTTGGGGCCAACAGGACAGGAGGATGAGCAGGGTATTTTGGTAAATGCAAAGACATTTTCTCCAGAAAATGAACCGGCAGTAGTAAGCTGGACAGACATTTCAGATGGAAACGATGGCTTCCTCCACGCGTTCCCTGTGCGTGGGACTCGCCACATCGCCTTCTCCTCGGGTAATTTTGTCGTCCACTGGTCCTCTGATTCGCCGGAGATGCCATATCCCGATGCTCGGATCTGGGTCGCCGATCATTTGTGGGATGTCGATTAGTTGCTCGTTAAGCCCTAGAAACGACGCCAAGACCCTACGAACTTGCAAGAACTGCAAAACCCAGTTCGACCCGGTTCTCAATCATCCTAGTGCTTGCAGATTCCACACTGCACATTACGGAGGTTAGTCAGCTTTCGCTAATTCGTAGTTTGGTTTTGATTGCCGGCCGGCGAAAGCTCTTCCGTTTCGGCGTTAATTAGGTTTTTTTCCCCCGGGGGTATAGGGCTCGGATCCTCTGGGAATCTGAATATAGAAGGGAAGTGAATGATTTACACGATCTGGAGGGGAAACATTTAGAATTTTCGTTGCCAATGTTCACCGGATTCTTGTTGGAGAGCGAACTGATAGAGTGGTCTTCCCTATCAAATCAGTTGACCTTGAGCTCCTCTTTGCGTTATCCTTAGTCTGAATCGCTAAATGTCGCCCTTAAAATTGCTAACGATCGTCCTAACTCTAATAATAAATGACTTATATACCCCCAATAAAATTTGGCAAAATCCACTTCCATAGCCATAACTTTGCACTTTGTGACAAATATAGCCAAATTTGAAAAAATGCACAAAAATAGCCACAAATTTGAAACTACCTTGACAATTATAGCCATTTCCGTTAAATTTATTGACGGAGTTAGAGATGTCGTTGGCGTCCGTCAACAACAAGCTGAGATGGCGCCTAGTCAGCTTTTACGTCAACTCTAAGTCGATGTGTCATGCCACATGTCATGCCATGTCAGCTTAAAAATTAAAAATATTATTTATTACAAAAAAATATAATAAATAAATAATCTAATTGACCATCGTCTCTAAACCTCCTTCTCCATTTGATGGCCAACCTACTCCATTTTCATGGCCATAAAAAACCTAAAAATCAAATGAAATTCACAACAACCAAACCATTCATCCCTCTCACCACCACCACCACCATAATCTCTACGGTCCATCTTCTTCCTTCCCCCTTCTGATTCCTCTTTAATTCTTCTTCCTTGTCACTTCTCACCACTAAGCCTTCTGATTTCACGGGCTTCATCAATTCCCCCAAATACTACATGGATCCCCCGCCTGCTTCATCCATCTTTGGCAAAATAATCCTGGGTAGCCGCCGCCGTCCATCTCTTTGTACTCCACTCAGCCAAAGTCGAGTCCTTTGCTACTCTAGCTGAAGAGATCTCGGCCACCGTCGAAGAGGCAGACCAGCTACTGCCGGATGAGATTCATCTTCTTCGTCTCCTTCCTTCACCTCCCCTTTATTCGAAAATCTCGTGGGTAACGCCGAGGCAGTGGAGTGTCGGAAATCCCTGCTGCAGCAGAAGCTTGAGAGCCGCGAAGAAGAGGACGCGCTCAAAATCCTGACTTGTCTCGTGGCCGCGCAATCATGCCGCTGAGGGAGAGCAGCAATCTCCATCGCAGATCGAGAAACTAAAACCTAATCGACGCTATCTCCTTGCAGATTTCCTCCCTGAAAAACCACTAGATCTGGGCGGTTTTCAAATATGCCGCCGGAAATCGCCAATGAGCAGAGGGTACAAGCGAATCGCCGTCGATGTTGCGGAAAATCCTCCCTCTGTCAGTCGCTGCTACGTCTGAATCCCTTTGTATTTTCGGACCGCGGAGGCGAGCTAGACCGTATCGAGTGGTGAATGGACCAAGGCTGATGAGTGCGTTCGTCGATTGAGAGTCACCGGCGATTTTAAGTTTAGGTGGAATGGAGGTGGGATTTCTGTGAAGAGGAAAAGAGAAGAATTGGAAAGGGTGGATGAGGAAAAGAATGGTAAAGTAGGTTTTTTTTAATAAATATAATTAATTTAGTTTTCCACCATGGCATGCCACATAGACCAAATAAAATGCAGCCACATTCAACCGTTTGCCCAGTCAGCCGTTTTTATAATTTTGTTACATTAATGAACGGAATGGCTATTTCTGTGTATTTTTTCAAATTTGGCTATATTTGTCACAAAGTGCAAAGTTATGGCTATGGAAGTGGATTTTGCCATAAAATTTCAAAATTTAAACAAACCAAACAATCCCTAACCCCTCAAACTGAACCTCTCATCTGCCTTCTTCGCGAATCCCTCTCGACACACCAGTTCGTTGGCGTCTTTTCCGCCGTCGTCGTCGCCCGTTCTCTAACGAAATTTCCAAAAAAACGCTCAACCTAAGACAAGTTACGGTTGGTCCATGGTGCAACCGCAAGTGAGCTGCGGTTGGCCCATGGTGCAGCCGCAAATGAGCTACGGTTCCCTTTTTTTGTTTTTTTTTCCAATTTTTTTAGTGAACTTTACCGATTCAGAGTCGCTAGTCATGCTCCAGACATCATATCGACGATTCCAACTCCAGAATGACGATGATGGATTCTCTCTTTTGAATAATGTTTTATTTTATTTACTAAGTTGTGTTTGTTTGCTAAAGGAAGAGTAAAGAAGCTAAAAGGTTAAATTTGTAACTTTGATGTTTTTTAGGGCGACATTTAGCAATTTTAAGGGCGACCTTTAGCAACTCTCTTAGTAGTCACATTATCTTGCTGCTGCAATTGCTAAGATAGTGGTGATGGCTGTTTCCTGCTGTCGGCCAATCTGTTTCATTTGGATGGACTGTATCTGTTCTGAATGTATGTAGGTGAGACCAAGAGGAAGTTCGAGAGCGTGCACAGCGGGGGAACCATGAGCACACCGGACGCCGGCCGAGTTTTCCAGTATTGGCATTGCTGTGGGGCTGAGGATCCCTTTGATCCTGGCTGCACCGCCTCTCCTCACCAATCTTATGATGATTGATTGATTGATTGACGGCGGCAGGGGTTCACGAGCCTTGCTTGATGATTCCACATTTTGTGCAGGATGAATCTTTCAATTATTCACATAAATATGCAATTGCAAAGTTAATGAAATATTCTTTCCTTATTGTCACCTTCATTGTTTATGTAGTTCAATTCATGTTAATTTCGTTGTACCTAGACTGTCCATGACCTAGAGAGTTTTTTATCCGCCTTTTTTGGGGAGCTTCATGTCTCCTGCGAAATGCCGAATTAGAGTTACCTTCGTGTCTTCATGGCAACTCTTCCATCTTCGGGGATGATAGGGCTGACTGAAAAGCCCCTCGACGGCACTAGTGGGCGTGGCGGCAGCCGACAAGCTCCTTCTCACCGGATGGTAAGAGTGAGAAGGAAACAGGTAAGGCGAAGAAGAAGGTCCAGGCCATCAGGCCATGAACCTCGACCAGAATCTTAATGGCATCGGCGGCGGTTTACTTGCTAGCATGGATACTGATGAGACAACACACCAACAATCTCCGCCAGGCGATATGGGTAACATGAAGAACTCATGGAACGGGACGATTGCGAGATTGTTTAGCGACGTTTTGCAAGATGATAGATGGCATGTTGAGGGAGTCGGACTCTGAAGCTGTGGCTCAATGGGAGGAGGATGATGACTTTCACTTAGGGCTGCAAATGAGCCGAGCTACTCGCGAGCAACTCGAGGCTCAAATCGGGGAAAATTCGTTCGAAACCCGACTCGTTTACTAACGAGTCAAGCTTGAGCTTAGCTATGTTCAGCTCCCGAAGCTCGCGAGCTAGCTCGACTCGGTGACTTGTTGAGCTCAACTCGTGAGTTGGCTCATTTAGAGCTCATGAGATATCTCAACATTGTGGTTGAGGGCCAACTTGATCACCGACTTATGGACGAATCGATCTTTTGTTTTTTTTTTTTTTTTTTGGTCGAGTGGACGAATCGATCTAACTTGGACTTTCATAATTCATAGGAATGTTAAATTATATATCTCACATCATGTGATGTTTTAACATGTTGAACATGTAAGAAAATATGCTTTATTTTTAATTCTATAAAAAAAATTATGTACAAAATTATTTCGATACTATGACATAACATGATTTGAACTAGTTAAAATTTATTAACTAAACAATATGACACCTAAAAATTATAATATAAGATTAATTAATATTGAATATTTTATTATTATTTTTGTCGTTACATCAATCACATTTACCATACACGACATACAAAATGAATGTATCAAATACGATCTAAGAATTTAGTAAAAAACCTAACTCGACTCGTTAATAAATGGCTCGAGCTCGAGCTCAACTCTTTTGTTAACGAGTCAAGCTCAATCTGGAGTAAAATTCGGCTCAACTCGGCTCATTTGCAGCTTTACTTCCACCATCTCAGATTTTTACAATTGCTGTCTTTATTGCCACCTCGACAATTTCTGCAATCCTACTCATGTCACCAATTTTTATAAAAAGAAAATATAGAACCTCTCTCCAGAGCCCACCATTATCATGTTCTTAGACCATTTTGATTTTTATATGTAATTGCATTTGTTTTAAGATTACAATTGCAAGGGGTGGCCACATTAATGCATTTGTAAAAGCCGAAATCATTTCATCTTGCAATTGGAAATGAGCAATGTAGTCAAACTATGGCTTTTACGTAGAAGAGAAATGATTGGTAAAAGTGAAAGTATTAAAGCGAAACCTAAAAGCGTAAACTTTTATCGATCATGTAAAATTTTGTGAAATCTTCTTACTTCAAATTATACTATGTTAAATATAAAGGATAAATATTATTTTTTAGTCAAACCTTTCACAGATTCTAAAATATTGGCCAAACTTTAGAGAATACGAAATATTAGACAAACCTTTCATAGCGCTACAAAATTATAGTCATTTTCCGCTTGAAGTTAAAATTAGCCTTAACAGAAGTCAACACAAGTGTTTGAAACATCAGAGCCATGTCATTTTAAAAAGTTTAAAATTTAAATGGTAAATACTATTTTTTAGCTAAACATTTCACGATGATGGAAGATCTTCTTCTGATTTCGAAGTCGTTTCGTCGACGCCATCGAAGCCGACATTAGCGGGTGTAGCGCTCGATTGATGGTAGAGAGAAAATAGAGGCAACGATTGGTATCGCGCCTCTGTGTCATCGACGGTTCCTAGGAGGGGATTGTGTTCCTGTTGAACATACCGAAGTTCGCATAGGCTAATTCCCAGTGTTATTAAAGCCGACCCGAACTTGTCGGTCGGATCGGTAAAATCGGCACCCGGCCACCTGTCCTGGTCAGAATGCCTAAATAGTCGTTATAGTTGAAAAGACCAGTTAGCAAACGGCCGAAATGGTTAACCGTTCGAACCGACCTGTCGATTTTTGGAGCCTGGCCGTCTGATGTTAAAAAAATGAAACTTAAAATTGTTGGGTTGAAGGTCGCCGCCCTCTTTGTGTTCCGCTTTCTCGAGCTTCTTCGACTTCACCTTAGACCGGCAACCCAATAAAGACTAAGTAGGAAGCTCGTGACGTCCCATGCTCGTCTTTCTTTCTCTTAAAGCCAAGGGGATGGGGGCGAAGGACAAGGAAGAGAAGAGGATGAAAGGAAGAATTGGTTGGTGTTCGTCTTTTTCTCATGAGAGGAGGAAAGGAAGCTAAGAGGAGGAAAGGAAGAATTGACTTTCGTGTTCTGTCTTTTTCTCATAAGAGAAGAGGAGGAAAGAGAGAATTGGGGAAAGGAAGAGAAGAGGATGGGAGATGGCTAGGGCTGGCAGAACGGTTTTCGGTTAGCAGTTAACCGGTTGGTTTCGACCGAACCGACCGGTTTTCGGCTAACCGAAAACCGTCCGCAAGTGTCAACGGTCGGTGGTCGGAATAGAGGGGAAGATGCTCGGCTAGCCGATTAACCGTGGTCAGAAACCGGCGGTTAACCGGCTAACCGAACTCCTCCCTTTTAGTACAAAACGATCCTGCATCCCTGCCCAAACCGACCCCTCCCAAACCCGACCACACCCAAAACGACCCCGCTCCAACTCCACCCAAAAGCCAAAACGACCCCCCCTGCCTATGAGATGGAAACCCTAATCCCAAATTCCCAATCCCCACTCCAACCCCCACCCCCATTTGCAGACCATGCTCCGCGAGCCGAACCTTCTCTTCCTTACCCGACCGGCGCAGTACGGACCCGACGGCGTCTCCTCCCGATCTCCCGCCCTCCGGCCCTACCTTCCTCACCGACGGCGTCGCCTCTTCTCTCACCGCGCGGTTCAGAGTCGCTCCCATGGGAGGGAACGGAGGCGGCGGAGCCGGCCGCTGCTGCTGCTGCTTCCCCGCCGGCACAGCATTGTTGAAGGAAGGCGGTGGCGGAGTGTAGTGAGTGAATTTGTCGAAGGCGACGACGTCCTTGGAGTTGGCGGCGGCGGAGGTAGGGGTGGGCTTCTCCGGCGAATTGATCGGGGAAGAGTAGGGAGGTGACTCGGCCGGGTCGCCCTGGTCGGAGCGGAGCGGGGAGTGGAATCGGAGCGGCGAGTGGGGCGAGTCGAGCTGGGCGTGGTGCGAGTCCGAGTTGGAGGAGGAGGAGCGCTTCATGTTCCTGGTGTTAAGGTGGCGGCGGCGGGTGTCGACGAGGGAGAGGATGGAGGAGGCGTAAGGGCTGTGGGGAGGGAGGAAGGAGAGGCCTGTGGGGAGGGAGGAAGGAGAGAGAAGGAGAGAGATGGATGGAGAAAGGAAGGAGAGAGAAGGGTGGAGGAGATAAGGAAGGAGTGGTGGGAGGATTTTTGGGTTTTCTTTATATATATATATATATATTTTTTTTTAAAGATAAGGGAGTGCGGCTAACCGAACCAAAATCGATACCCGACCGGTCGGTGGTCGGCTAACCGCAGTGTCCCTCACGGTCGGTGGCCGGCAGTGAGAGGTGGTGGCTCGGTTTAACCGATAACCGAGAAATCGGTTTTTGGTTAAACCGAAACCGACCGATTGACAGCCCTAGAGATGGCGGCGCATGAGAAGGTGGGAGGGGGTTTCTAATGGTCCTTTATATATGTATTGTCAAATTACTAAATGTTACCTGTAAAGTAAATTTTATTTTGTTTATAAAATTATTAAGTTATTACTTTATATATCTTCTATTTATGATTCTACTGTTTACAAGGTATCGGTTCTCTAACGGTCTAATACCGGTTGGACCACTAAAGTACGAGTCGTTCACGATACTGGGTCATGCTCCGGTTCGGTTATGACAATATTGCTAATTCCTCTCCGATGAGATTGTTAATCAATGTTTTTCAATTATGATCTCGATGGTGGGGTTAGGGGAGAGGCCAAGGAAGAGGAGGAGGAACGGGAGAAGATGTGTGGCGGCAGTGGATGGGAGGGGATTAGGTCGACGAGAGGGAGAAGAACAATTCAATTATTTGTACTATAAATAATAAATCATTTATAAAGGTATGCGGTACTCCCGATTTCACCCGGAGTATCCTAGAAGGCACCATATATATATTATTAGAATATAAATAGTGCCTAATTGCTTAAGGGGTCCAGTGGGATGCGGAGGAGTCCACCTTAAGTTTCTGTGCGCCTCTTTCCCCAATTTTCGCCATTTCTTCCCCTCCTTCGATCTCCCTGGCGACGTGCCAAGTCTAGGCCTCCGTCATCCATGGATCGATCCGCTGCCTAGCGACTAGCTGTCCCTGCACTGCATCACACCAAGTGACGCAGACAATCAGAGAAAAGGATAAGTAAGAGATCGGATACCACCGTCAATTCCCTGCGAGTCACTTTTGCCTGCTGAGCTCTGTTTTCCTCAGATAGACGATTGGTGGCTAGGCAAGATGGAACTCCAATTCTCATGAATAGATTTGCGGGCGATGGTGGTTAGATACGTCCTAGGTCCTTTTCTCCTTTCTTTTCAAGATTCTTCCCTCGATTCCCAGGGGAAGTCCTCCTCTGTTCTACGACCTATAGGATTTGGCAATCAGTGGATTTTTTAGATCCTTATTTGTAACCAACGAAAGGAATTCAGCCATTGTTTTTGACCGATGAAATTGGTAATGAGAAGAATTGGGTAATCAAAAGAGGAGCGTAATTAATCGACAGAAGTTACCGCACTTGGCCAAGAAGTTCAATTGCATGCAATGGGTGGGTTTCCAGAGTTCTCAGCGCTGGCAA